TGTTTCCGACAGCCTGTCACTCCGGTTTGATTTATTTCATGTATTTGTTGCTCCCACTCATTCGAGTCATCTCCTTCATTGTCCCCATTTGTGGTAGAGCACTCTCCTATGAGTCTCTCCTATGCTCTCATGGCTTTAATGAAACATGAATGTTTATTTTTTCCTTTTGTAGTTTGAAATTATTATTTTTTCTTTAAATTTCATTTTTTAATTTTCAAGATGCTTAGAAGATTGGAGTTGAAGGGATAGAGATATGAGAGTAATTGATTCTTTTTACCCATTACTAATTCCGCTATGGGTTATTTCATAGGTGTCTAAATGTCGGCAAAAAAGCGCGTTATTATACATTTTATTTGGTTAACTCCAAGGGTGTCGTTGAAAAGTTTGATGTTTAATACATGATACATCGATAATAAGATGCCCTCAAATTCATGGTGTCCAGATTCTTTCACGGTTAGACGATGTAAGAGCAACTACATTGTAGAGTATCTCAACCTTGGTAAGTCAAAAAACTTATAAAAAAAGAAGGATGAATAATTCAAATGTTGAGATACCAATCTAGAAATTAGGCATGGGTAAAAAAACCGGAACCGAAGCACTGAACCGAAATATTCGGAACCGAACCGAAACCCTTAAATATCCGAAACCGAACCGAAACCCTTAAATATCCAAACGGCTCTTATATTTATATATCTGAAATAACCGAACCGAACCGGAACCGATCCGAGAACCGAACGGATATCCAAATATATAATAATATTAATTTTATATACATATAACGTAACCAAATATATGATTTTAATTTAAAAATTTATTAGAAGTATCAAAAAATAGTTAAAGATAACTAAATAATTATAAAGTATTCGAACTAATTGAAAGTATACTCCAAATATTGAAAGTAATCTGAAATATCTGAAATTTGTATCTAAATAATTCTAATTATTTGATATTTTATCTTAAATAACTGATAATATACTCGAACTATCCGAAACCAAACCCGAACGAAATGAGAACCAGAATTTTGAGGTATTTTTTGATTCCTAGTTTTACCATCCAAACCGAACCGAACCAAAAATAGTTCAAGTAGTAAATGGGCTTTTTTTTTGCCAACCCCTACAAAAAAATACATTCTCTTATTGTTATAACTAAAAAAGTCCAGCTTTTACTAGAAATATACAATTCATATATCATATTTTAAAATTTTGATATATATTTTCATTATTGTATATTTTGTTAATATGTTTCATTATAAACTCTGATGAAGAGGAAATTCAAAATACAATTAAGGGAAAATTGCCAAATATGACTCAAAACTTGATTTGAAATGCAAAAGTAAACCCAAACTTGAATCAAATACAAAAGTAACTTAAAAGCTATTGAAATTACAACCAACCCCTTGTGAATAAACAAAAAAATAGTATTTTTTTTTTACGTTTCTAGCCCTCGTAAGTCGTCTGTGACAGTTTTTCTTAAAAATAATCTAGACGACTTATAAGTAAGTCGTCTAGGAAAAACGGGATAGTTTTGCATTTGACCGAATTGTGTCAGATATTTGACTTTTCTTGGACGACTCACCAGTAAGTTGTCTCCGGAAAAGTTAAAATTTCAATATTTTATTAAACCTAGACGACTTACAGATAAGTCGTCTTAGGTTAGTTTTGTAATTGAAAAATAAAACTTTAATTTTAACTTTTCCTAGAAGACTTAATTTAAAGTCGTCCAGACAGACGACTTATTCTAAAGTCGTCCGAGATAAGCAAAGTTTGACCGGAAAAAAATCTGGACGACTTTACTTATCTCAGACGACTTTAAAATAAGTCGTCTGACTGGACGACTTTAAATTAAGTCTTCTGGAAAAAAATTAAAATTATTTTTTTTTCAGTTACAAAACTAACCTAAGGCAACTTATCCGTAAGTCGTCTAGAATTAATAAAGTATTGAAATTTTAACTTTCCCGGAGACGACTTACTGGTAAGTCGTCCAGGAAAAGTCAAATATCTGACACAATTCGGTCAAATGCAAAATTAGCCCGTTTTCCTAGACGACTTACTTATAAGTCGTCCAGATTTTTTCTTTTAACATACAAAGCTGGAAGACTTAGAAGTAAGTCGTCCAACTCCAGAAGACTGGAAAAAAATTTTGAATCACGAAAAGAAAAAAGTGTAATGGCATTTTCGTAAATAATATGAACAGATGGGGTGAATAAGATAAACGAAAAATCAAAAAACAAGAAAGGTTAGTTTTGTGTTTGATTTTGAGTTTTGAGTCAAATTTTCAAAAATCCCTACAATTAAACTAATATTCGTAGGAACCATCCAAAAAAAAGAAAAATGTTCAATCAGCTATACTATTATTATTTACACCAAAATATCTTACTATTATTTAATGAAAGAGAGTTTTTCTGTGATAGATTTCACTGATAATCAGTAAGTATGATTTTTATTTTGTGGATTTATATTTTATGTTATTTAAAGTATCATCTTTTATTAGGTTATTATGATAATGATTCTTTTTTACATGTGTTGGTTAATAATATAACTAGGTTTTGACCCGCGCTTGAAAGCGCGGATATTTTTTATAACTAAAATTTATATAATTAGGTTATGTCTTAATTTAAAGAATGTTTTGGTATAAAATCAGTTTACCAAAATTTGCGGTGACGATTTTTTTCATTAGTTTTTAGTTTCAGTTTCAGTTTTTATTTTTAGATTTTGGTTTTTAGTTTTTAAGTTTCTATTTCTGATTTTCAGCTTTTGTATGGGTTTTTAATTTTTAGATCCGCTGAGTTAGTTTGAACTGATATTACCAACAAACAAATTTCAAATAATCGAACATCTAATTTAAAACTGAAAAGATAACAAAAAAAATTTAAAAAAAAATTTGCAATAGTTTACTTTGTAAATAAACAAAAGCAAAAACTATAACAATATGTTATCTAGAACAATGCGTTTTCAGCTTTTGGTTTTGGGTTTTAGTTTTTAGAATTGGTTTTTGGTTTTGCTTTACATTTATTTTTTTAAATCAGTAAATTATTTAAGAAAAATAAAACAATAAATTATTTAAAAGTTACCATAGAAATTTATCAAAAAAGTGATTGTTATTTAAAATTAAAATACAATAACATGTTTTAAAGTACATGATTTAAATAAATGATTAATAATAGACAATTTTGTTTTGTTGAAAATATTAAATACATTTGGGCTTGAAAATAATAACCGATTTTTTTATCTATTAAGATAGAAATTTTACTCAATGTTTTTTGGAGTTTTTCCTTAATAGTAAGCCTAAAAATCAAACCATATAGTTTGTCCTAAAAACAAAAGTAAGCCCAAGACTATATCCCATAAATAACCATCGGTTTAATTTAAGTAATGCGGTTCAATTATATATGGCTTATTGTAACACTCTAGAAAGAGTCCAAATTTAAATGACAATTTGTATTAGTAGATAAAAAGAAAGACTATATTTTAATAGAGTAGATTTCCATTGGTTTCATATAATTATTAAATTTCCATTTTTTTAAGGAATTGTTAAGATGCTAAATGGTATATTACGATTTCCACAATAATATAATTAGTAGATTTCCATATTCCATATTTTGATAATATATATTCTTTTAGAACATTCCATATTTGTAGGAGAAAATATGTGTTTTTGATAGACACATAGATATCTGCCGTATTTTGAAGATAATTTACATTAAGGTCGTCATGTTACATTAATTGTGTTGGTTTAATTTAGGTAATGCGGTTCAATCAATTATAAGACTTATATTATTTGTAACACTCTAGAAAGGGTCTAAATTTAAATGACAATTTGTATCAGTAGATAAAAAGAATGTCTCTATTTTAATAGATTAGATAAATACATTTTTTGCAAGTACCAAGATTATCTAATTTGCTTTGTAATAAAAAAAGTCAAATTATATCTGTTGATTAATTTAATATTTGAAAATATGTAAATAATTTATATTAAAATAAAAAATATGTTATAATTAGAATTGAAAGTATGGACCATCATCTAGTCTACATAACATAGTCTGCTGAATTTGTGTTCAAAAAAAAAAAGGTATTGCACACACACGCTCACTCGCTACCAAAGAAAAAGCAAGACAATTTTGTAACAAAATATCATAACTAATCTCAGAATTATTGTATGTGTATTCAATGAATATTGCCTCCTAAGATGGACAATGGGAAAATTCAACTAGTATAATCTAAAGTTTAATAAGATTATCTACAAAAGATGATTTTGTATTGTTAATAAAAATATACTGAAATTAAAATTTGAAAACAGATATTGTAGAGACTGACGTTTTAAGTCACTGAAATTTAAAAATAGTATTTTGATTAAATAAAAAGTTCCACCAATACAATTAGTTTTAAAAATGGTATTTTCGAAGACACTGTATTTTTCTGTTTTTTAATCAATATTGCATTTTTTGAAACAGTAATTGCACCCAATAGCTTAAGAAAAACCAAAATTTACAAAGTAACCAAAATTCTATCCTCTTTCATCTTTCTATCTCACTCTAATTTCTTTCTGAAAAATTAAATTAAATTTTTTTTTTGTTATTTCACAAATTGTTCCTTTTTCTTAAAGAACGTAATTTAAAAAGGCTTTTGTGTAATTAAATAAAAACAGCAAGGAAACGTTTAGAAATTGTTGTGAGAGTTTGAAGAGTCAAATAATTTTGGATCACGCCGATAAAGCCAAAACCCCCTTCCGACGAAAAAGCTTCCACAACCAAAGCATTCATCTTTCTTTCTTTCTTTCTTTCCCCCACTCCCAGATTTCTAAAGCAGCATTTTGCCCTAAACCCTAAACAAAACTCTCTCTTTTGAAATCCTTTTCTTACATTCCCCTATATCTTTTTTATCTCTGAGAGAAAGTGAATCTCTTTTGATTTTGATTCCTTTTGCAATGATTCCGTATTTTGAATTAAGGGTTTGTGGTTATAAAGCGGAGCTTGGAGGTTTATGGTTTTTTCTCAATGAACAATGGGTGCTCTCAGAAGAAACGTTGGTCTGATCGATTCTAAGGGTTGTTCCAAGCTGTTCCCTGTCTCACAATCTCCCCCTCTCATGTCTCAACTCAATGGACCCTTCTCTTCTCTTGTCATATGCGTCACTGGTTTATCCAAAGGTCAGATTCTTTTCTTCTTAGTGGCTTTTATTTGAATCATCTGGTTATAGAACAACAATTTTGGGGATTTATCTTTTAATTTTGATTTGTTTTGAAAAATCTTTTGCAGATGCAAGGAAACAAGTTAAGGAAGCGACAGAGAGACTAGGAGGCGAGTACAGTCCTCACCTTCATCTGCGATGTACCCATTTGGTTGTTCAGATATCCTTTTTCATCTTAATTTTCAACTTGTTGTTTTTGGTTATGACTAATGAACCAAATATGATTCTCCTTTGAAACCTATCATGGTGCCATATTACTACTGCAAGATTATTAGACATCCTATTACGGTGCTCTTTGGGATTCTTAACGAAAGCTTACAGCTCATGTGGACGTAAGTTTGAGCATACTTTGAAACATGGGGCAAGAAATGGTCTCTTTGTTGTCACAATTGGTTGGTTTGTTGATAGCGTCGGGAGAAACAGTAAGTGCTCAACCGAGTTCATGATATTTTCTCAAAGATTTATAGGTATGCCAATGAATTAGTATCATAGACATGACCGTTCATCTTTGCTGATTACTGTCTCAGTAAAATAGCCTTATAGTTAAGAGTCGTACATCGACTCCTCTTGGTTGGTTAGAAATATAGTGTGATTTTTAATCAGCATGGTATGGGGATAGTCTTATTTGTTTCAGCTTGGCTGTTAGTTCATCAAACTCAATTGTAAAAGAGAGCTCATGGATATTGAAGTATTGTGCGTCTCAAGTTGTCGCTGAAATTATTTATTTTGTAATGTTGAAGTCAGGATGAGCGAATCACTTTACAAAGTTAAACAATTGGGAAAAGGTAGTGAAAAGGTGGATCAGCTGAGCAGAGTTTTTGATGTTGAATCTATTTGTCGTCCTCGTATAATTCAGCAAGCTGTACATTTTGGCACATCAACGAAGTACCACCAAGTATCTTCTTCTGGAACAGTGACTGACACTAGTGAAGACATGACTCTTGCTGACCATTCTATCTATATTGATTCAGACATTTCGGATGATCTCCGAGTTAAGGTAACTTGCAAATTCCATTTATACTTGTTTTTTTTTTCTACCTCACTGGGTGCTTGCTGTCCGGCCTGCACAAGCTTTTCTATAAGTCTCGTTGACTAGTATTTGTTCAGTTGCTGAAGGTTGCAGGAGATCAAGGTGCAAAGGTCATAGATTCATGGTTTGTTGGATGCAATGCAAGTCTTGTCGTCTGTGAAGGTGCTTCTGTCCAGAGATATCTTGGCCATGCAAACACCATTGTCTCTGTGAGAGTTCTTTATGACATTGTTGTATAATTGTATTGTATTGTATTCTTAGATTATCAACGAAGATATGGAGAATTGGATACGCAGTCCCTTTTATATGCTCTGTTTCCTTAACATGCTTGCTTTTCTTTGTTTGCATCAGCCACTATGGGTTCTGAAAACAGCGGAGAGACATCAACAAAGACTTGTTCACATGTCACCTGATTTAGCCCGACAGTTGGGAGTAATGCTAGATAATATTGAATATGGTGCCCCAGAGGAGGTAGTTAGGCTTTCTGGTTTTCTTTTGTCCTGTCTTGGTAATTATATGTGACAATAGGTACTGGTTTTGAGCTTATTTTTCTTGTCTAAATGTCACAGATAATTTCGCGGCAAGCTGATTCTCTAGATGCTCCTAAATTCAGAAGTAAATCAAAACAAGAAAGGAAAGAGACTGTAACTATAGCGAAAACTGGAGTAAGGAGACGGCGCGCTCGCCATATGCAGGTACTGATATCTTGTTTTCTTCCCTGAACTTTAAATTGCACCTCAGTGACTCTTAATTTGGATGTCATAGACTTGTCAAAACCCGATAAGACGCATAACACAGAGCAGCCTGCTGGAGAATATTTGCTGGACAATATCTGAAGCAGCTTCAACTGCCACTATTTTTAATGATTCATGCAGCAGCAGCGGCTACATCACTGAGCCCCAGCCTTCTGCTGTAGAAGAAGGGAAAGATAAAGAGTTGGATCCAGTAGCTTCGTTCTCAAACTCGACCAGAACACTCACCGAGAGGTACTTTTTCGTTCTTCTTACATCGCCTTCTCTTTATTAGTTAGTTTTGCATGTTGCTATGATTCACACAAGAAGTGAAATTGCTTCCAGTGATAGCGTACTACTCTGTCTATGACTACCATTGTTGCTACCGAAGAAATAAAATCACTGTGGTCAACTATGTTTATTTCCCGGGTGCAGTGAGAAGACAGAAGTAATATTTAAAGACAACTTCCTTACAATTCTATATCCAGCTGATCGATTCTCGGAGATGGGACCTTCTTCACGGACTTATTTCAGTGATACGGGTTTCACTTGCCTGCAAATTTTAGACTACATCCACAGATTTTATCAGGTATAACAACATTCTTGATGATTGTTCATGGAGTAAGTCATTCTCTTAATTAGGAACGATTGATGATGTGAAGATCTATAGACCAGACCCCTTGAGTTTCACAGTAACCAGATGCTTCTTCTTCCTTGTCTCCGCAGGAAGACTTGCCTGATCACGAAATAGAAGTTGCGATACACACTGACTCGAGGCACGCAGACCGTCTAAGAGCAGTCTATTGCAACAAAGAGGAATCGGATGATGGATACATGATTTTCCCAAGAATCGAGTTACTAGGAAGCAGGAAAAGTTTCGAAATGCTTAAGCGTGTTAACGGAGAGAACAACAGTAATGTATATGAGCTCATGATTAGAGCTTGAGCAAAAAATGCTTATTGAATACCTATTTTCTATTACCTTTTGATTCATCAAAGCAAAGACTTAATCACGATGAACACTGAATCTAACAGAATTACAAATATAAGCATTTCCAGATGAAAGGAGTGTATAAGCATATAAGAGTAAAACTGTAAAAGCATAGAGAATCAACAAAACATCAGATAAAACCCCACAAAAAGATAACAGTAAGAGGTCTGATTGATCCTCTAATGCTACAAAAAGTATTTTCTTAACAAACCTAAAACATTTTAGCATAAGCCTTCTTCTTCAATCCTTCCTTCTTGCCTTCATCTCTTTCCTAACTTTTTTTTTGGTACTTCATTTTCAGATACTCTCTCTCCTTGACTTCCCATGTACAGAACAGATACAACAAAAATGAATAGCGTGGTCGATTTTTTTTGTTTGTTTGTTTTCCTTTCCGGTCGTGTATCGCTTGGGTTCCTATATAAGTACCTGGCTTTTCTAGTCAGTATATGATGACTCTAAGGAGACCAGCCTGAGGCTCGGAAAAGTCAAGGCCTTCTTCTTCGAGTAGGTAGCGCTGTACAGCAACTGGGAGTCTAGCCACTGTGCGGGAACCCCTTGTGTGGTGGCCAGTCCCTACGCATATGTAAACCTGAAGCCTCTCTTGTGTTGCTCGAGCTGTGCTCCTCAACACGCTCAGTTCGTGCTTCAACACCTGAAGTGCTTCACTAACATGTAAACCATGCAAGTCTATCATTCTTTCGCTCCCTCTACTGTTCCCTTGACCCACCGGGTTCCTGTGTTTTTTATTGCTCATAAGGCAGGTTAGAACAGAGATAGAAAACATAACAGTTCGTTATTCGGTATTGTAAAGGAGAAGACTCTTCTGTTTTTGAGATAAAAGATCATGTCGTAAGGAGATACAGTGTAGCAAGGCAAAGAAGTCAAACCTCTGACGGTAAATAGCTTCTTGAGCTTTCCCATGAGCAGCCTTCATCTGCATGTTATGCATCTGTCCCTTGGCGCTTAAATCTTTAGCTAAGGCCTTATTGCCCACAAGGTATGCTTGCCGTGCCTACGCTCAACCAGAAGCAACATTAAATATTAAGCAAAAAAGGGATACAGAACAGTGACAAGTTAATAGGATAGACATTTAATTATTTAATCCGGTGGAAAATACCCATCATCAGGGACAAAAAAGAGCTGAAACTATCATCTAAAATTGCAGATAAGATACGACACTTTTATTCACTACTGACAAGAATATTTCAAAAATCAGTATGGGCAAAAGAGAGACCAAATAGAGCTTCCCAGCTACACAAAACAACGTGAATAGAAAAGCAAGAGGCCATATAAATGAGGAAAAATGGCACCCCAAAGTATTTATATACCTGCTCGAAGTATAAATTTCGCAGACGTGCATAGTCACGTGCTTCCTCGCGCAAGTCAGAATACATATTCCCTGTTCATTCCCCAAAAATGCAATTTACATCCAATCAGATAACTGCTGTTCCAAAAGCAGATGTATACCGATTTATAAATCTGTATATATGGAAAAGTATGTTGAGAAGGGTAGATATACCAACTGCGTCCCCGGTCTCCAGCCAGGCGACAGGAGCAGGGCGATTTGGGGATTGATTTAGCAGCTTATCAGAATATATACTCCTCCCACGCCCACTCTTGTAAGCACCACCACCATGTGAAGCATGATAGTTTCTGCTCGAGCCAATAGATGAGTCTCCTGAATCGTTTCGTTCATATTTCCACAAACCAGTATCCTGGGACGCTAGCTTCTTGACGGCGGAAACATAATCGGCTGAACCAGGCTGAGAAACTGACGGGCCCGACTTGAAGAAAAACATATTATCCTTTCCAGCAGATTGGTAATGATTTCCTGTTTGTTGCATATCATCCCCACCAAACTGTGCAGGATTACCCTGGCTATTTGAGATGCTAAGGGCAGGAAAATCCATGGGAGTTAGATTAGGAGCAGGAGCCTGAGCAGGAAAATTAGGCCTCATGTTCTGATTCACACCATTATCCACTTGTAGCTGCAGTAACAACATGTAAGTTAAACAACCAAATCACTCGAATGAACAAAACATAGAAACATACATAAAGTAGCAAAACAATATGAGACAAAATAGCAAAAAAGGACATCAACATTCCATAACTTCAATATCCCAGGCCCTCTAATAATCGCTGTTAACATTATTTTAGGCACAAATCCGATTCCTTCATGACACTACGGGCAGAGAAGAGATAGCTCCCGGCCCCACAATTTCAATTGAATCTACACTGAACCATCTGTTCAAATTAACAAATGACCAACGTTTTGAAAGAAAAAAGCAGACAGGTGTGGAAAGGCAGAGAATAGGCACACACTGCATCACAACGCAGGCAACAATCATAAGCAAATGCAACATCAAAGAAAGCTATGGCGAGTACCTCAAGCTGAGTAAGCATCTCAACTGTCAAATGCAAATCACACCCATTAGCAAAATAAACTTCTGCAAGACTTTCAGCAGCAAATCCAGGGAACTGAGAAGCAAGAAACTCCACAGGGTTCAACTCCATTTCGCCTACATTTGGATTCTCGGAAATCATGTCGTTAATGAATGGGGAATTCCCACTGAAAGGGTTTCTCTCCCTATCATTACCAAGAAGCTTCTCAGCATTCATAACCTGCTTATCCCAAGGCTTTGGACTGAGATGCATGAAACTCTGTCGTTGAGGATCTTCCCCGAACGAAGAGATGGGATATCTACCCTTCTCCGACAAGTTATGCCCATTAGCATTATGTGGAGCTAATAATCCAGGTTGGTCAGAAAACACAAACCCTCCTGCTCCACTCGAGTTTTCAGCTTCATTAGCAGCGTCATACAAGGACAAGCTAGCTAGTGAGAAGCTCCCAGAACCATACGAATTGTCATCTTGAGTCATCAGCTTGAAGTCTGGAGTAATATCATCAGGAAGTTGGTGACTCCAGAACTGGCTTGCTTCTTCATCTGACAGATGTGATGCAGATGACTCGGATCGGTCCATGACAGCTTTCCCTACAGAGCTAGAGGAAGCCAAAAGTCTTGGTGTCGTAACATCCAAGTTGCTTGTAGTAGGTCCGGCGGATGAAGGAGAGCGTAGAGTAAACGGAACAAACTCAGCAGCATGAGGATTCAAAGTTGTTGGCTTGAGACTTGAGCTTAGCTTTGGATCACTTGACGGGGCGGTCGGTGCTTTCTTGGTTAGGTTCATATCTTCAACAAGAATCGAAATTTAAACGCTAATATAGACACAACAATAACTGCTCTTTTAGCCAAAACCTGCAAAGGAAAATTAACTTTTATCACTCAAATGTTTTACCCAGAAGAGAAACAAAAGCATGCGTGGGCATAAAATCATATATTACCAAAACACAAACCAGGAAAACAAAAAAAAAATAGAAAACACTTTCAGTTGCGACAAATCATAAGTGAAGGCATTGCAGCTTTTAGATATGGACCCTTTAATTTATGAATTATGCAAAAATAAATAAATAAATCTCAGTGTTTTATTTGGCTTCTAAGATAAAGTCTCAGTTTCGTAGGAGACAAACACAATAAAGCGTAAAATTAATTAGCTTCAAATCTGAGACCCAGCTACAATAACTGAATCGTTTTTGCAATAAATAATAATAAAAAAAAAGAGACAAATTAAGACCAAAGAAGTGGAAGAAAATCGCGAATCAAGATGAGTCGGAACCTTTGCGGAAGAAAAAGAGGGGATCCATGGAAGAGAGAAAACACGAGATTCAGGAGTAAAAGGCTGCGGAAAAGAAGATAGAGAGAGAGAGAGAGAGAGATAACTTTCCAGGGCGTTTTGTGCTTTTTAAGTATTACCTAGGGATTCGAGCTTTGGGTAAGCGTCGTCGTCTTCTTCTCTAATCTCTATACTCTTCTCTTTCGTGTTTGGCTAAAGATGTAACACCACGACCACCACAAGATTATAGTATAAAAGACACACCCAACCTTGCGCCTCTCGATTTTGACCTTCTTTTTTTTTCCCCTTCTAATCTTGTTTTAATGCTCCATCTTTAATCTTAATCCCACTTTATTACTTAGTATATTAAATATGTAATATTTCAATTAGATTTTCAGCCATACTTAACAATCACCTTTTTAACGAAATTTAATTGAATGAAAATTAAAACTTTTATACTTTTATATTTATACTAGGTGTTTTGCCCGCACTTGCGGGCTTAATAATTTTACTAATATCTATAAATATATATATAATCAATTTATGTAAATTATAATAAATTATAGTTCATAGACTCAAAATATTTAATAATAAACTAAACAAATTCTTTCTATATATAAAATTTTTCATCATCATATAAAACATTTAGTAATAAATTAATATCATTTTTAGACATAACAAAATAGAATAAAAATTATCTTTAATAATGTTTTGGATAACATAATATAAATTATCTATACATAAATTCTTCGCGAATTTATTTTTCATAATTAACTATATATTAACAAATAGAATTAGTTTTCAATGTTAATAAAGACTTTATAACATAATATAAAAAAGTTAGGTAAAGATAATTATCAAATACATGAGATTCATTTTTTAATTTAGAATTAATTATATGTTAACAAATATAATTATTTTTCAAAATAAAGACTTTATCCCATAATATAAAAAATTAAAATAAGAATAATTATCAAATAAATGAAATTCGTTTTTAATTTATAATTAATTATATATTAACTAATATAATTATTTTTCAAGGTTAATAAAGACTTTATAACCCAATATAAAATAGTTTTAGATAAAGATAAATCTAAAATCATTGAAATTCTTTTTTATTTATTTTTAAACGATATTAACCGCTGTAACTTTCAACGTGAGTTACAAAGTAATCAACAAATTCACTTAAATTTTATAATTAAAAATATATTTTTAAGATAAAAATCTAATACAAAAGAATTAACATATTTTCTAAAAAAATATAATATTATTAACATAAATTCGTTTTTATTTTATAATAAATTATTAAAACATGAAAATAAGCAAAATAACCTAAAATCATGGAGAAGTTGACAACCAAGCAAATTTACTTCTCAAATAATGTTATAGATAGATGAAAAATATATTTTTAAGATAAAAATCTAATACAAAAGAATTAACATATTTTCTAAAAATATAATATTATTAACATAAATTCGTTTTTATTATATAATAAATTATTAAAACATGAAAATAAGAAAACTAACCTAAAATCATGGAGAAGTTGACAACTAAGCAAATTTACTTCTCAAATTTTATAATTAAAATATATTTTTAAGATAAAAATCTAATACAAAAGAATTAACATATTTTCTAAAAAAATATAATATTATTAACATAAATTCGTTTTTATTTTATAATAAATTATTAAAACATGAAAATAAGCAAAATAACCTAAAATCATGGAGAAGTTGACAACCAAGCAAATTTACTTCTCAAAAATAATGTTATAGATATCAGTTTAAATTTATTTGGTGTTTAAGCTAAAATACGTAGATTTTAAAAAGATAAGATATTTAATTTGTTCGATTTTATTATTTATGCTAATTATTATTATTTTTTTCAATAAAATAATTGTTAAAAGGGAAAACTAGAATGGAGCAATTGTGGGAACCGAAATTTTACACCGTCGATTTCCGTAAAATAAAGAAACTTAGGAAAACCCTAATTTTCTAGAGGACCAGGATCTCTACGAGATCCAACGACAAGTAACCAAATAAATGCGGAAAATATGAAAAACATGATAAAACGAATTTATAAAGAAAGTCATCTTATTTCGAATTCGCGTAAAAGCTTTGCGATCTTTACAAGAGATTTACAAAGGTTTTGGCCGCATGGGCCATCAGCGAGTTACCAACATAAAAACTCTAAACCTAGTCGAGTCGCAACTCGATAACAAAAGACGAAAAAGATTAGAAAAATAGAGTTTGATTGATTTCAGACTGAACCTTACGAAAGGCTGCCTACGTACACCTTTCGAGGATCAAGTCGAACGTAGTTCAATTGGTAGAGCTAGACAAGAGATCAAACTGCATAGGCGAGTTCGTCTAGTGATTGAGTGCCAATCATAGAAACTGAACTTATTGAGAAATAAGCCTAAGTTTCTAAGTGCAGAGAGTTTTGAGTCTAAAAGAGTTGTGAAAATCGTCCCTTCTTCTGTCCTCTGCCTTCTGTTTATATACTCCCTCCTTAGGCGATTTAGTCCTTCCTTTTCGCCCAGATTCGAGTTTATCGGGAATCTTCCATTTATCTCGATCTTTCATTTTCTTTGCGAAAATCTTCTATTTATCTTTAAACTTGACATTTATCTTCAAACTTGACATGTATCTTCTTTCTGCGAATAAATCTTAAAACCGTCATTGTATCTTTGGGCTGGATTTCGTTTAAAATATTAGAGAAAATAGTTTTTTTAGGCCAAATAGGTTTGGACATTGTCTCTTTAGACTAACCTCTAGTACTTTATGTCCCATTAGGCTAAATATTTTCTAAATGGCAAGAATGCCCTTAAATTCACTTAAAAATCGTAAAAAAATAAAAATAAAAATCTTCAAATCGGGGGAAAAAAGACGAAAGAAACTGCTCTATATGACGGGATCGATCGATCCCGTACAGAGTCGATCGATCCCAGTGGTCGATCTCGATGATTAAACAAAAACATAAAAAAAGCACGGAGCAGAAATTGATCGATCTTTTCAAGTTCAGTCGATCTACACCGATCGATCTACCAATGATCGATCGATCTCTGTTCTAGATCGATCGATCCCGATCCCAGTTATTTCTTCCAACTCGATTTCATGGTTTTCTTCGGTTAAATCTGGTTTAATTCACATTTGATTTAAACCGAGTAAACACGATTTAACCTACTAATTCGTGTTTTTGGGACCAAACCCACCACTCTCTTCTCTGCCATCACGTAAAAAGGTAGACAATGGAGGTTCCTCATTCATAAACCCTAACTCACTCAGTTTTGCTCTGATTTGGACGATTCTTGAGCCTAAACCACACTATTTCGTGAATTTTTTTCGACTTTCTCAGAGTTTAATCGATCGTACAGATCAATCATTCTGGATAGACCGATCCCCTAGGTGAGATCGATCGATCCCGTGCCCAGGAAAAACGTTTTTGCCTTTGAATTTTTTTTTTTTTTTTTAAAAAAAATTGAATTTCAAACATGGAAACCGAATATTTCCTAATATATTCTTCCTATATTTTCGGATCTAATAATATTTATCCATAGAATTCAGATTCTACTAAAGGTAGAACTGTGTTAAGAGATATGAAATCAGTATCTACATGTATTAGAACGTTGTAACAATGTAGATTCCGATTTCTAGTAGTTTTAGATTTAAGTAATAATTTAGATTTCAATTTCTACTTTTATTAGAACTCTATGATAAGAGTGGAATGTGTATTCCAAACTATTTTAGATTCGTGTGATATGCGTAGAAAACATATTCTGCAGTTCGTAGAAATAGTGAAAAAAGTGGATTCCGTATTCTAATCCGTAGTATACGAATTCTAATTTTGGTAGACTAATATATGAAATTATTATTTACACATTTTTAAAATAGGAAAAAAATATCACTATATAAATATAAGGGTTTCATCATTATGTACTATTTTTAATTTTTTTTTGCTTCATAAATCTAGTTTTTTAATAATTTCGGAAATAAATAAAGGGCATTAGAGTCAAAATTGGTACAAAATATAATTTAGAGTAAAGGGACAATGTCCAAACCTATTTGGTCTAAAAAAATAGTTTCCCCAAAATATTGGCGGCAGCATGGACCCATGTTTCTTTAGGCAAAACTCACACTGGAACCAACAAAGAACTTACCAAATTTACGGAACAAAAATGTTAAAACAATCTACAATTATTCTCTCTCCTAATAGATCGTCCATTTTGCATACTTAAACTTGATGCTGTCCATTTTACCAATTAAAAATTTAAAATTGATGTTGGTGTCAAAATCGGTCACGACGGAATCAATGGCTAAAAGTTTCCGTAAAAATAAAAACACGTTTTATAAAACATGAGAAGTTGTTTTATAAAATGCTAAGGACTTTCCGAACAAAGAAAATTTGAGGAAAACTTGGAGAGCGTCATCTCAGAAAAACGAACGAAACAATTGCCGACTACACGATTGCCCAAGTTAAGCAAAAAACCGCATCCGCCGTAAACCGCGAGCAGGTTCAACCGAACCAAGTTCAACGTACGACGAGCCGAACCAGCCGGTTCAACTCGCCGTACGGCGAGCTGGTTCGACCAAGCCAGCTCGCCGTATGGCGAGCTGGTCGCCTCAATGCAGCTCGCCGTACGGTGAGCTGAACCAATCCGGCCCAATCACCAAACCAATCAATGAACCACTTGGTAGGGTTGAAAGTATAAGGAAGTGAGAAGAACGATCGTGAGAAGCAAAAGAGAATAAAAGTAACAGATTTGAAGATTTTAGATAATTCGAACAGACAGACAAATTGTTCTCGCAGGGAACACTCTGAGAAGCCTGCTCGCGATATTTATGGAAATAAAAGATTCCAATCTGGAATTTGCCCTAGTTCGCCCTACTTTTTAGCTCCAGCCGCATGTGGTTTATATATATTCCCTTTTCCTATTTTCTATTTTTCACCTTAGTTTTTACGCAAGAAAAGACCTAGAAAGCTTTGCGATTTGCGATTTTGCTACTTGTATGGGAGAAGGCTCCATCCATCTCCTAGAGAAGATCATCCTGAATCCTCTGATTTCTTTTATCTATCACATGCAGTATTATTCATGAATCATGCTTCTTCATTCCTGTGTTATGTCTGAGTAGTCACCAAGTTAGCTGAAGCTTAGATAAGTGATCAACAAGAATTGTTTATATTCATATCTATTCTTAATGCTTGCATTGAATTGATCTCTTAGTGCATGAATTAG